GCATCACTAGCACCAGCCCCACCAACAAGGTTGGCTCCCTCTGTCAGGTTCCAGAAGAAGAGGACTTAACTGTGTTTGAATAAATGTAGGTTGTTATATTATACTTAATAAAAATAAGATATCCCCTGATAATAAGCCCTAGTGTGTTTTTTTGAGAAAAAATAAATATAAGACTGTCTTATTTGGGGGGAAACATGGCCTCTCCCCGAATTCCCTCAGATCCCACATGTTCACGTATTTACCTTCACTTGGCTGATGGTTACCCGAGCGTGCATTCCCACAGGTGTTGACAAGCCTAAACCATCAAACTGTGGCACCGTCTTTGGTGAATGGATAACAAAGATCATTCCGGCATCAAGAAAACCAAGAGCTGGGTTATCAGTGAATTCCTCCTGAAACAAAAGTACAGTTTCTCCCAAATTGCAAATTGACTATATCTGCTTTACACAAGCATAGGCTTTTGATTTATCATCTCATAATAGCATTTGACTTATCCAAAATCCGTCTGTCAATGGATTTTCATCTCCTTTCATATAAACAGCTTGAAAATTGACAACCTAGTTAAATTACAGTTCGAGACTGCTATCATTTTCCATGGATCATTGTATACCTTAGATAATTGACATAAGTGTGTACAACAACTGTTAATGATCTATATCCTGGGTCTTCTCTTCACCTAGTTACCATTTAGTTGCTAACTTGGCCATCCTCTTTGACTCATTTGTTTTAGAAAATCATTTCGTGTTCTTCACTTTGCAATTAAAATCACTGGCCTTATATAAAGTTCAAGTTTATTTTTCCAAAAGAGTGAATATTTGCACTATTTCACTCACACCAATGTTCTTTTTATATAAACCCTACATCAGATGAAGAAATGTAAGACTAAACTTCTGATAACTTTGGCATTAGGTGTGATTTCAGGCTACAAGAAGGAATAAAATGAAAAAGACTATAATAATTTTTCTGTGAATGGGTCAGTTGGATATGTAATTGCATTTAATAAACATGCTTAGTATTCTAATTTTAAAATAGCACTCTATTTCTCCTGGTCATGTAATTACCCTCCAAGAAAGACATAATTGAAATAACTCAGTGCCATTTTCTCATGTAACATTGCATTGAATTTGTAGATATTAATTACACTCTTAAAGTAACTGGAAAATTATAGTTTATAAAATTTATAATGTAATATTTGAACTGACCATGTGACTAATACTTAAAGGAACAGAATATATTGATGAAATATATATACATGCATGTGTAGGTACCTGCACTGAAGTATGCAATGTTGTGTTTGGACATTAAATATAAATGTCTCTTGAATGGTATACAGAAGGATGCTATGAAAAATACCTTAACAGAGATTCTTTAAAAGTAACCAAAGGCCTCATTTGTGTTTTGTGATGTGGAGTAGTTTTCTAAGATTCAGGAACATCAGATTTAACTGTCATCTTTTTCATGGATTAGGTTTGGGGCCATTTAATCCATCAGCACTTCAGAAACCTCATTTGTAAAACAACAGTAATGGAATAGAATACATGTACCTCTAAACGTGTAATTCTAGAAGTGGTTACACAAGACAGAGGGTGAGAATTAACCTTGGGCAGGAGCTATAATAGGTACCCATGAAGATAATATGACTTGCTTTCTTAGGTGTCTGAATGAACATCTGCCTCCTCAGCTTAAACACTTAGAACTTCTTAGGCCTATTACAACTTTCCAATAGCTAGCCTTTGCCAAAGTCTGTTTACACAATATTCTTTTTTTTTTTTTTGAGAAAGTGTCTCACTTTGCTTCCCTGGGTAGAGTGCTATGGCGTCATAGCTCACAACAACCTCAAACTCTTGGGCTCAAATGATCCTTCTGCCTCAGCCTCTCAAATGGCTGGCACTCCAGACACGTGCCACAGTGCCTGACTATTTTTTAGAGATGGGATTTCGCTCTGGCTCAGGCTTGAACTCCTGAGCTCTGGCGATCTACCCACCTCGGCCTCACAGAGTGCTAGGATTACAGTCAGGAGCCACCATGCCTGGCCTATTTACACAATATTCTTTACACAGCAATTATTTTTTTCATTACCTTTCCAGATATAGATACTAAGATTTATAAAACGTGTTTGTATAGTTGCTATCTAAAACATATTGCCTTATTTACATATAAATCTTTCTGAAGTGATTTTTAAATGCATACGGTAATCTTAAAATAACTACATATTTTGTAATTTAGAAATCCCTAGGTTTCCTTATTTGGTGGCCACAATAATGGAACTTAGTAGAAAAGCTAAAATATTTCCAGGAGATGCTTTGAAATTTTACCAATTTTATCTCTAACTCCATATTTATTTGGAATCCATGAGACTCTAAGCTAAATCAACAATAAAATTATGTACAACTTGAGGGAACTATTTGACAAGGCAAAGCATTCTGATCAAACTCATTGCTTTTCTTGTTTGTTTTGAATCTTGGTTGGTTGTAGGAAATTTAATACCTGATTGATGTTGAAGAGCAAGCGTAAGCCTCTTCCAGAGACACTCACTTTATTCTTTGCCTGGAGAGTTTCACCATGATTAAAAGTAAAACAATTTCCATATTCAGTGAAGACATGTGCAAAATCCTCCAACAGAAAAATAAACCAAACACAATCAATTGGGTATTTTCGTTGCTTCTTAGGTTTAATTTCTATAATTTATCTTTTGATAAACATATCTTTAGATGTCTGAATGAGAATGAAGAAATACCAGAAAGAATAAACAACCTATTTGTGCCTACATTCAATGGTAGTTTTTTTTTGTTTTTTTTAATATAGGTTTGTTAATTTGCTTGTGTTTTTCTTTTTGAGACAGGATCTTGCTCGGATGCCTGGACTAGAGAACAAGGGCTTCACAGTAACCTCAAACTGTTATGTGCAAGTGATCCTCCTGCCTCAGCCTCCTGAGTAACTGGGACTGCATGCCACCTCGCCCGTTAATTTTGTACATTTTATATAGAGACAAGGATATGATTGCTGTTATTCAGGTTGGTCTTGAATGTCTGACTTCAAGTGAATCTCCCACCTTGGCCTCCCAAAGTGTGCTAGAATTATAAATGTGAGCCACCATACCCCACCATGATTATTTAAATAAGACCTTTTTTTTGTATATAACTAAGGATTTTTTTACATGTAAAGCATTATTTGATAAAATTTAACATCTCTTTATGATAAAACCTTTCAATAAACTAGGCATAGAAGGAACATACTTCATATAAAAACCATATACAATAAACCCACAGCCAACATCGTACTAAATAGGAAAAAACCAAAAGCCTTTCCCCTAAGAACAGGAATTAACAAGGATGTCTGTTTTCACCCCTCTTGTTCAATATAGTATTGAAGCTCCTTTCCAGAGCAATTAAGGAAGAGAAAGAAATAAAAGCCATCTAAATGGAAAAAGAAGCAAATTGTACCTGTTTACAGATAGTATATGTGATCTTAATCTAGAAATACCTGAAGACTCCACAAAAAAACCTCTTAGATCTGATAAATTTAGTCAAGTTGCAAAATGCAAAATCAACATGAAAAAAATCAGTAGCATTTTTGTGTACTAACCATGAACTAACTGAGACAAGCATAAAGAGAGCTATCTCATTTGCCATACCCACACACAAAAAAATATTTAGGAATAAATTTCACTAAGGAGATGAAAGGCCTCTGGAAGGAAAAGTATAGAACACTGATAAAAGAAAGTGAAGGGGACACAAACAAATGGAAAGGCAGGCCTTGCTTATGGAGTGAATGAATTAATGTTAAAACCATATTGTCTAAAGCAATTTTCAGATTGAGGGCAATCCTTATTAAAATACCCACAAAACTTTTCATAGAATAAAATTTGTTGGAAATATCAACAACAACAAAAAGCCTGAGTAGCCAAAGCAATCTTGAGCAAAATGACCAAAGCTGGAGGCATCACAATATTTGACTTTAAAATATATTACAATGCCATAGTAACCAACACAGTATGGTATAATATAAAAACATACAGAACAATACAAAAGAATAGAGACCCCAGAAAAAAATCCATATAGGTATAACTAATTTTTGAGAAAGCCACCAAGAACATATACTAGGGAAAGGACATCATCTCCAATATGATGGTGCTGGGGAAATTGAATCTCTGTATGCAAAAGAATGGAACTGGACCCCTATCTCCTACCATATACACAGAGGAATTTAATATGGATTAAAATATGGATACAGAGGACCACTTCTAATGTAAGTTTTAAGATTTTGTATCCCTTTTACACATGAATTAGAAAATAAAGGTGTAAATTTATTATAAAAAACCAGGCTATAAAATATGGTGTCTATATCCTGTGCCACACAATGACGTTTTGGTCAATAAGGGAGTGACGGTGGTCTCATGAAATTATAACAAGGATAAAAAATTCCAGTCCTCTAGTGATAGCCATCATAATGTCACAGCACAATGCATTACTCCATGTTTGTGGTGATGCTGGTGACCTATTGCTCTGCTAGTTGTATAAAAGTGTAGCACGTACAATTACGCACACTATCTAATACTTGGGAATGATAATAAATGACTATGCTACTGCTTTATGTATTAAAAAAAAAGATTCAAATATAATACCTGAAAACATAAAAAATATTAGAAGAAAATAGGGGAAATACTCCAGTGTTGTTCTGGGCAAAGATTTTATTGCTAAGAGCCACAAAACACAGAGAACAGAGACAAAAACAAACAAATGGACTATTTTAAACTACAAAGCTTTGCCATAGCAAAAAAAGCAATCATCAGAGTGAAGAGATCACCTATTGAATGGGATAAAATATTTTCACACTATTCATCCAAGGAAAGACTAATATCCAAAATATATAGAAGGAACTCAACTATAAAAACACAAATATTCACATTAATAAGTGAGTAAAGGACATGAACAGATATTTTCCCCCAAAAAAGCATATAAATGGGCAACAAGTATATAAAAATAGTCAACATCACTAATCATCAGGGAAATGCAAATTAAAACCACAATAATATATCATCTCACCCCAGTAAGAAAGACAAAAAATAACAGATGCTAGGAAGGATGTAGGGAAAAGGGAACTCTCGTAAACTACTGGTGGGAATGAAATTACTACAGCCACTGTGGAAAATGATATGGTGATTTCTCAAAACACTAAACATAGAACTATAATATCATCTAGTAATTCTACTACTGTGTATTTATTTATATTAGAGACAGAGTCTCACTTTATCACCCTCAGTAGAGTGCTGTGGCATCACAGCTCACAGCAACCTCCAACTCCTGAGCTTAGGTGATTCTCTTGCCTCAGCCTCCCAAGTAGCTGGGACTACAAGTGCCCACCACAATCTCTGGATATTTTTTGTTACAGTTTGGCTGGGGCCAGGTTCGAACCCACCACCCTCAGTATATGGGTCTGACACCCTACCCACCTTTAAATGGGAAATTATTCTATTAAAATGATATAAATACTCTCACATTTACTGCAGCTTTAGTCACGTTAGTAAGATATGGAATCAACCTAAATGTCTATGAACGGATGAATGAAGAAAGAAAATGAGGTAAAGATTCACAATGGAATACTATTTGGCCATAAAAGCAGAATAAAATCATGTCATTCTGTAGTAACATGGGTAGAACTGAAAGTTATTATATTATATGAAATAAGCCAGGCACAGAAAGATGAATATCTCATGTTCTTATTCAAATGCGAACTCAAAAATGTGGTATCATGGCCGCAAAGAGGAGAATGGTGGATATCAGAAACTGGGAAGTCTGTGTGGATGGGAGGAGGAAATGAAGAGAAGTTGGTGACTGTGTATAGGCATATGGTAGGATAGAAGAAATAAGTCCTAAGGTTCTAAACCAGCAGTTCACAACCTGTGGGTCACGACCTCTTTTTAATAATGAAAATACATTGCAGCATTAGGGAGATTAAGAACCACTGTTAGGGTGACTGTAGTTAGCCACAATACGTTGTATATTCTAAAGCAGCTACAAGAGAGACTTGAAATGTACTCAACATAGAAATGATAAATACTCAAGGTGGTGGATACCCCAAATGCTCTGACTCAATCGTGAGTAGTACACGTTCTATACATGTAAGATAATATCATAAGCCCCTCTAATTACATAAAATATTATGTATCGATAAAAATGAGCTGATTTATGTTTGAATACATATTCATGAAAACAGATGATTTTACCCGTGAACTACTGTGGCATCCTTTCTTTGAGGAGTCACCCCTCCTGCACCCTTCACGGTCACAGCCCTGGGGACAGTCAGTCATAATACTGAGCTCCACCGCCCTCCTTCTCCAGCCGCCGCAGAGGGTGCAAGATGGCACAACCTGGGGCAGTATTAATACCCAGCCTCCTGCCTCAGTAGCTGGTTTAGAAATTTATATGTGTCACAAGTTGTGAAGCTAATCAGCACCTTCTATGGGATTATTACGTGAATAATGGAGTAGTAAATATGATGAAGAAAGGCGAGGGTGGCCAGCAACCATGGTGGCTCTGTGTGGAGACAACTCAAACAGAAAGAAGCCAACCAGAATTAGAGATGAAAACAGACAGCCTCTTAGTGACAGTTTTAGAGTTCTCAGTTCAGTATTTTCTGAAGCCAGCCAGACTCTTAGAGTTCCTAACTAATTGAACTAATTTATTATTTTACTTCTCTGCCTACTGGTACAGAATTGAATTTCTGTAATACGGAACTGAAAAAGTCATCACCAACGCAAAATTTTGAGGTGGTAGGTTAAACACGTTGGTAAGGAAAACAGGATTACAAAGGGTTCATTCTGAATGAAGACCTGAACTTTCTCTCTGTCAAGTGTCACGCAGGCATCTATCTTCTGCTTACTATGTGCTAAGGGAGGTTACCAAAAGAATAAGCAATTGTATCCCAGAACCAGGGAACTGCGAAGTTGACTTACCTTCACTATAACAACACAAGCTATAGAACTGCTGATATGGGAAATATGTGATCAATAGCCTCCATCTCTCTTGATTATTAAAAATAGATTTCAGATATATCCAGAATTTCACCTTAAATGTAGTTTAATTATATAAATAATGAAACAGGAGTTCATATATATTATAAGCGAATACATATTGTATCTGTTATGTGTAATTTTCATGGCTAAATGCTGGGGTCCTCTTACTTTGTATAGCTTCCAAAGCGCTACATGGAAACAGATGGCCGCTTAATGATGGTAAAAGGGCTCTCTGGGAATAGGCTGTTGGCGAATGGAAAGGATTAAAACATCCCCTTATGTTAATTTCGGGGGGGAGATTTATGCTACAAGAAAGGCAACCCAAGATTTCTGTTTTCTATCTTTTTATCTAACTTCTTGAAAGAGGAAATTTGTCTCGCGTTCACTCCATACCCCTGATGTTATAAAGCTGAGCTAGTGAAATATAATCTTTGAACAAATTTAAATTGATTCCCCGTGGGAGTAAACGTCATCTCAAGGTGAAATAGTACAATAAAGTGGCTTATTATATTGATTGTGTTTAAAAAACATCAAATCATTACCTTTGGACCACACGGCACTCCAAAAAAGTCACAGTCCAACAGAGTGCTATTATTGAGATAAAACCCGTGGTTCCTGATAAACTCGGCAATGCTGAAGTTTTGGTGACTGGCAACAAAATCGATACTCTCTTTATAGCCAGTGGAATTGACACTGATTTCCTGAGAATGGAGGACTTGGGACACAACATGCCATAAGATAAAAACGACGTGGAATTTGGCTACAGCATCTGTTTGGAACCTATTAGTGGGAATGAAAGCGATAGTTAGAATAATAATAGCTTGTAATTACCTACAAAACAGAGACCAAACATCTGGACTCCATCAGCTTCTTCTTATCTCCTACATTCTCCCTCATTGGCAAGACATTCAAGCAAAATTGAATCCCTAAGAGGTCTTTGACACATTGTGAAATTTATCTTATATTTGTATATACAGTTTCATTAACCTGGAATACTTCCCAGACCTTGGTCTGGATAACTCCTAATGGATCTTCAGGACTCAACTTAAAGGGAGGTGGTTATGTATACTTGTTAAGAACATACATTTAAGAGCCAGATTTCCTGTGAGCGCCTGTGTTTTTTATCTGCTTAGCTAAGCTGGAACTGTGTTTCCTGGTTGTCTGATCCTGGCCTGTATCTGGTTACACTCTGGAGTTTACTGCAGCACAGAAGCTGAGGTAGCTCACCCCATTGCAGGTCATCGGCTGACTCAACTTGCTGACCTGGGGCAGCAGGGCAAAAGCTCCTCCAGCTGCCGTCTGAACTCTTCAGCTTTTAGCTTTTTCACCTCTTGGGTTAAGATGGCAACCTGGTGAAGGCGCCAGCTGGCCTGCAGCTCGGATTCGTTTTCCCCTTTGACATCCATTTTCCCTTCTGCTGCTTGTCCTGCTACCTTGAGGCCCAGGACCAGAAACAGGCAATCGACGTACAAAGATCGCCTAAAGAACTCATGTTATTGAGTGGGGCGTAATCTCCATGACACCCCTTAATTCTCTGTCACTCGTAATGATTCTGTTTCTAGTCAAGCCTAATGGTTACAGCCACTTAATAGTCTGAGTTAGAAATTACTGCAGCTCCTTGGGACATAGTTTCCCTACTTACAAAATTGGTGTATGTTAATATAATCTAACCCCAAATGTTTCTTTTTATTATTAAATTAATTGTATTTTCCTAAATTACTTAGAAAGGTGCCTGGGATACAGTAAGGGTTAGGTAAGTATTCATTAAATAAATGCTTCATTAATGTCAAAATGTTGTCTTGCAGTCAAAGGGGAGTGATCTGTTTAATCTAACTACTGTATTACCTCCCAATTCTCTTGCTTTGCTGAGCAAGGTCTGTCTTGCATTATGCACAGCTCTATTTATATACCTACATTCCTTCCAAAACATAGTTGGTACTTCCATATTTTGGATATTATAAATTTTGAAAATGAACAAATGTTCTCTCCTCAACTTGGCAGCTAGAAAACATAAACCAGAATGTGTAGCCTGCTCTTACCAAGGGTATGGGGGACACGGTCTGTGTCTCTTGCCTGGACTTCTTTTATGTCTAAGATTTTGTTTTCACTTTCTAAATTTTGTTTATACACATAAC